TGTTTAAACTGTTGATCTCTTCTTGGTTTAACTTTGGAGGTTACTATGATTTCAGATATCCATCCATTTCTTTTAGACTTTCAGATTTAGTAGTGTATAGGTTTTTAAAATATTCCCTTATAATGGTTTGGATCTTTTGGGTGTCTGTTGTGAGGTTTTTCCTTTCATCTCTGATTTTGTTGATTTGGATTTGCTCTTTCTTTCTTTCAGTTAACTGGGCTAAGGGTCTGTCTATCTTGTTTAGCTTTTCAAAGAACCAGCTCTTAGATTCATTGATTTTTTGTATTGTTTTCTTTGCTTCTATTTCATCAATTTCTGCTCTGATTTTTGTTATTTCTTCTCTTCTGCTGGGTTTGGGTTCCATTTGTTGTTGCCTTTCCATTGCCTTGAGTTGCAGTGTTAGTTCATTTATTTGGGCTCTTTCCAATTTTTTTAATGTAGGCACTTAGAGCTACAAACTTCCCTCTTAGGACTGCTTTTAATGTGTCCCAGAGGTTGTGTTGTTTTGTATTTTTCCTTTCCAGGAATTCTTTTATTTCTTTCTTAATTTCTCCTTTGACCAACTCATTGTTTAGGAGTGTGTTGTTCAATCACCACAGTTTCGTGTAATGACTAGGGCTTTGTCCACTGTTTATTTTGAGCTTTATTGCTTTGTGGTCTGATAGAATGCATGGAATATTTCAATATTTTTGTATTTGTTGAGGTTTGTTTTGTGGCCCAGTATGTGGTCAATTTTTGAAAAAGTTCCATGAGGTGCTGAGTAGAAAGTGTATTCTTTGGTGTTTGGGTGAAATAATTGAAAGATATCTGTTAGGTCCATATGATGTATGGTATCATTTAATTCAGACGTCCCTCTGTTCTTTGTCCAGTTGGCCTGTCTAATGGAGACAGTCGGGTATTGAAGTCCCCTACTATTAGTGAGTTGGGGTTAATCTGTGTCTTAAAGCCCTGTGGTATTGTTTTTATGAATTTGGGTGCACCAGAATTTGGTGCATATATGTTAAGGATTGTAATATCTTCTTGGTTAACTGTTCCTTTGATCAGAATGAAGTGACCCTCCTTATCTCTTCTGATTAGTTATACTTTGAAGTCTATTTTTTCAGATATTAGAATTGCAAGCCCTGTTTATTTCTTAGCACCATTTTCTTGGAATATTCTTTTCCCATCCTTTTACCTTAAGGTAGTACTTGATTTTGAAGGTGAGATAGGTTTCTTGCCTGTAGGTAGCTCCTGTCCTTGAAGGTGAGATGGGTTTCT